AATCTACAGGTTGATACCAAACTTATTGACATAAATTCATGAAATAGAAGATCAATAAAATTTTGATGCGAGTCAACAAATGAGATGAGAAGGGTTAATGACCATTGTTTCGATTAGGCCAAGTTTATCTGTATATGTGCAGCAAATGATTGTTGTCAAGTGTTGAACATACCACCCTTGTTGGTAGACTAATTTATGTCCTCTTGGGGCAACTGGTACTGATGGGCCGATATATTGTGGGCTCTATAATACAGTGGTCCTGATATTATACACATACTGTGGGGTAAAATAATTTGATGCTTCAATGCACAAACACAGTTTACCATGTAAGAAATTATCCAGAATAATGTCAAAAATATTTTGGGCAAATGTCAAGAAATACACAGGTGTAGATCAGCCTTCATTCCTGAAAAGTAAATTCCTGATAGTTGGTGAAAGAAACGAAAACTTTTGGTAAATGAAATTAACAATATTTTGAAGTAAATATCTTTGCTATAAATGTACTGGTAGGTATATATACGACTGTTAATTTTAAGTTTAATACAAGAATGTTATTTAGTTTACACAGTACGAATGTTAAAGTAGGTTATTTTTAGAAGCGATAATTATGTCAAGTTTGCTTTCGTAACTGTTTATGAATCATTTGTTGTGCAGTTCAACTGTTGTGAATTGATGTCATGTTACTCAAACCTTCTGAATTTTTCTCGTTGCTTTGAGTGAGTATTATTACGTCATAACTTCTGGTAGTTTGTAGAAAGTTGTAGGCCTCAGTTGAGCACTTTATATATAGGTGACAAAGTTAGTGAAAGTAAAAGTGAAGTTAGACTGGGTAATCGTGAGTTTAGCCATAAAGTGTGTATAGTGGTGACTTTTTAAAATGTAATAATCATAGATTGTATTGTAATAACAGAGCAGAGAAGAATACTTGTCTTGCCAATTGAGTTCTAATGTAACTGAACCAGCCTGTCTTGGACTTTTTATATAAAAGAGAATTATTTAAAGCTCTGTATGTAACTGTGGTAATCCATGAGGTAATGTAAGTGAAGAAGAAAATAATTTGTCTTATCAAAGGTGTTCTAAAGTAATTGAACTCGACTGTTTGGACTTTGAGAAAAAAAAAGAGACATTTATTTAAAGTACTGGATACAGCTGTGATAACCAATAGTGAAACAAATTTTTGTACATACATTTGACTTGTTTTGAATATATTATTTTAAAACAAGTGGATTGTGTGTTGTCCATTTATTGTTGAAATTTATCACCAGCATGTCACAGACACCTACTATAAAAAATCACAGCCCTATGAAAATCTGACATGTACCAATTGACATTAGTCTTTTTACTTAATACATCCTCTTTTTGAAAATTGAAACTTCATTAATTAGCAGGCCTTGAGATTCTCATACCGAAAAAAGAAAGGTCTTCCAAATGGATAAACTGAAGCATGACACTGCTTTAGTTAATCTAACTAATTATAATATGTGTAAGGAAGTGATCTATGTGTTAATTTAATTAAAAATATTTTCTTACAAAAATTTTGAAGAATAAACTATTAAAACTTCCACCAATTGATTATCTTGTTTTTTTATTTTAACTTGTATATCACCACAATTAAGTATTTTGAACCCTGTAAATCTTTCAGAACATTACTTCTATCCAGTTTTATAGAATTCAATACTGTTCCTTTTCACCATTAAACAAATGACCAAGTATTGTGGGTGAGGAATCTCATATTCATTTTAAAATATTAGAAAACCTGTAGTATTGTTTTAACTTTAGAAATAGATTTCGTGATTTGCCTAAAACTTTCCTAGGTAACTTTCAGTTAATTTAATAAATTTTATACAGTGAGATTCTTAGTCATAAAATAAATTTGTGTGGTTTGTGATGAACTCAGGTCCCTCCTTTGGGCCACTGTGGCTTGTTTATCACCCTTTGCCCTTTCCTTTAATATCTGGCTACTGTGCTGTTGGGACTTGTTGGGTAGTTCTTCTTTACTTGAGGGAGTGCATCTCTCTCATTCATCATTGCAGGATCTGTGTCAAGCCCCTTTCTTACACAATACTGTATTTGGTGGTCTTCCAGATTATGTAGAATCTAGGTTTGATGTGGCTAGGTTAAATTCGTCTGTCTTCTCTGGCCAATGATTATCTCAACCTCCCACATAATACAAGGAGATGCTCATCCTTGTTTCCTGACCTTTTTCTTCCTTGCTGAGACACTTACCTTCCTCCCAGTGTTCCCAACCCTACCTTCATTTTTCCCGCTCCCAGGTTGAGCAACACCAATGGTATAGGAGACTCCTTAGTGGGTTAAGAACTGGTGGGGGCCAGATTACACCATTTTTCTACAGTGTGGGTGGAATTTTGCAATGGATCCATAGGTTTTATTAGTTCTGCCTGGAGGTCTATGCCTTCAGTTCTGGTCTCATCTTCCCTTTTCCATTCTCCTATTTCCTTCCTTCCTCCATGGGATCCCTCATCTCTTAGTAATCTTACTGAGGCAGTCTACAACCTGCATCGCAAAGAACCTATTGAACAGGTGTGCCTCATGCAACTGGGGTTTTATTCCCA